TCTGCCTGTTCACCATTGAGCTTAACGCCAGTTCTTTTGGAAGCTTGCGCTTTGGCCATGTGAAGGTTTGAAGGCTTCTTTGCCGAATCCTCTGAGCCGAACGTTCTTGGCCCAGTTTTATTTCGTGGCATTGTTGAGGTAAGTTCTGCTTTTGTGAACTGCCAGCTTCAGGCTGTCAAAGCGTGCGAAAACCCTTTTGAATACAGTTGCCAAGAAGCGCCGGCTGAGCAATGATGAACCTCAGGAACCTATGCCAGAGTGGCCAGTGAAATTTTCCACCCTTGAAAGCATAGCCAGCACGCCTTTGTCCAGCACATTGCTAGACAAGGGCCTGCGTCAAAAGAATGCAGACATCAAATTCTTTAGTGATGTTGCCCACGCGTGTCTTGAAGAAGGAAGCAACCGGTTCCAGACTCAATGCCTTGCTGATTCCTCACGGGAGTCTCGTTTGCATCACCGACTTCAGAAGGATTTGCCTGCAGTTCGGGCTGTCATGGTCACTACTTTGCGGAACAAGAAACAAACAACGCGGAGAAAGCTGAGTCCCTAGATGGCATTAGCTGATTGAAAGGCGTAGGCTTCGAATTCTCTACTGGGTCTGTTTTTGTTTGTCAGGTATTGTCCTTCCATCTGCCTACATCAAATGGTTTTCAGAACACCCGAGCTTCTTCAAGGATATGTTCTTTGGGGAGACCACAGAAGCGGAGAGGTCTCTGCCGCATCCTCACCTTTGGAGAACCTAACACCTTTTGAACAGTCGCTTTTTCCTAGACTGAGGTTTTTTCAGCGGCTTCGGGAGTCTTCTGCTTTGGAGGAGGTCTTGCGAGCAGGCTTCTAGAGCTTCTGTTGATATTGCTCCTTCAACTTGTAGACGCCCTGAAGTAACATTAATTGGTAGATGTCTGTGTACGCCGCACTGCAGATCTGCAGGCCCGCACGATGTTCCCATTCGGCTGCATGGAGACGAGGGTCCTTACTACAAAGGTCGAAACCTCCTGATTATTTCAATGAGCTGTCCTTGGGTTCATCACCCCGTGCCTGACTTGCACATAGGGGCACGTCAAAAATCCCACATCCAATATTGGAACAAGTTCAACAAAGAACAATTGCCCCAAGGATACATTGAGATCACGATTGGCACTGTGCAACTTGGACACCATACCGGAGAGCGATTATTGTAAGTCATATGAAACGCCATGTGCCATATATCGCCAGCTTCTCTGGAAGCTGAGGCACCATCCCAGGGAAGCAGCTTCTCACCCGTAAGGCTCAGAAAAAGTTTTAAGTGCAAAAGCACAATCGACGAAATCCTCCAGTTTGTGGCTGATGATCTCCAGGATTTGCAGCTTGAGTTGAAAGATGTGTTGGTTGGTTTGAGACTTAAGACTCGAACCAGGATTTCCATGGGCGTAGCCATGACCGAGGCGCTTCACATTTGAAGGCGTTGAGCGCCGAATGGTGTTTCTCGGCGTTGGTGGTGATTGGAAATGGCTACATCAAACGTTCTATTTGTCGAGCGCCCAGCTTAAGACCATATCAAAAGCTGTGCGTGCTGCGGCCTACTTAGCTGAGTCCTCGATACTGGAGTGGCAATGGCAAAAGATTGGGAAACAGGACCTAAGGAATTTGCCTTGCCCTGTATATAGAGCTCAGAGCGCTCCTTAATTGAAAGACAAACCAAAAGCCTGAAGTTTTCTTTTCAAATGCTTCGTACTCTAGGCCCTCTGGTACCCAATCATTGATTCACCCTAGGTGTGAGCTAGGGTAAATCCATGTTTGGGTCGTTAGGTCTTTTTGGGGTGAAACATTTGAAAAGAAAACAACTATATAGATTAAGCGCGCTGGGTGCAGCATTTCTGGGCTGGCTGTAGTTCAACAGAAAGACACGTTGAACTTGATTACTGGCTCCAAATATGTGTGCCTTGCAGGATGTGTCACATTTGCAAGTTCCTTGGCCAGTTGGAAATTGCGCAACAATTGCCCTCGAATTTGTTGTTTCCTAGGAAACTGTTTCTGAGGCTGGCCTCGACTGAAGACCCTTCTGATGGCCCGACATTCTTGCACCAGGGTTCCTCTCACTACTTGAATTGTTTCCCAGATAATGCGTGGGCTACGTCGGTGGAAAGGCTTGATGTGACTTGGTCAATTTTTCAGCGCTGCGCAGCTTCAACTTTTTGCAGGTGGACTGCCCGTGCCTGATGTATTCCCAATTAAGGAATTTCGGAGAAGCGTATCCAACCACACGAGTTTTGTGAGCCCATTGATGGAGCTTGAAGGCTTCCACCCCTTGCTGATCTTCAATGATCCCCTTCATGTTGCGTACAGAGGATTTGTCCCAGACTTTCTGGCGTCAGCCTTCCAGTGCCTCTTTCCAGATGCCGATGTGCTGCTAGAGCACATTCGCGATTATTGCCGCGTCAATAATTGGTGTATTGGATTGGACGAGATCGCGTACACGACGGAGAACGGGTATCCGAGCTTGAACTGCAAGGGCTATGATGCAAAGATTTTGGCACTTTTCCTAGCAAGGGGCCCAGTCAGACTGAAGTTTTTCGCGCAGGGAACTTTGGTCGGGCTAAGGCAGATGTCATGCCGAGTCACCTGGAATCATGTTGCGCTCTTGATGATGAGTTCCTGGAAGTCTTGCGGCGGCAGCGTAGCTGCTCTGATCTTTTTGCAGTTCTCTAGTGTTCGGAGTCTTTTTGTCTGATGTTGGAACGTGCGTGTGACTGCCTGTAGGCGTGCGCCACTTGAGGACAGCGCAGGAGTTGGCCAAATCCATTCGCATCATGGAGGCTGCGATCTTCTTTGTAGAGGACGCTGATGTGGAAAAGGGCATCCAGCACGCGAAAAATTTCGTGGTTGGCTACATGTGGTTGGCCCATGCTTCCTTTGCGGAAGCCACGTGCTTGTTCAAACAGCGCCCAAAGAATCTAGCCTGCGCGCATATGTGGCACGTCAGTCTGCAAAGCTTTGGTGTTTTTGAGTGGTATATGTATATGCGTTCTTATGTGTATCTTAGGATGCACATCTGGCTGCACATGTGGGAGATTTGCAAAGCTTTGCGCGGGTATAACCCTCGCATCAATTCGTGCTTTGCTGATGAGGATTTTGTGCGGATTCTCTGTGGTATAGTTGCTTAGCACTGAAACTTTTTCACCTGATAATAGCAACTAGTGGTTGCTGTTCAATTTCTGCCCTGAGGCTTCAGGATGCCACCACCGCGGTACAGCTGTGAACTGTATAAGGCGGTACTTGTTAAGTGCGACGGTGCACTGGCGCAATGTCGTGGGAAAAACAGCTGCGCGTTGCATCTGTGGGGTTTCGGGCCATGCGCCAAAAGTTTGACGTTGTCGTTGTTTTTCTTTGGAAAATTGACGTTGACGTCGTTTGGGGTCAATGACGTTAAAAAACTTTGACGACTGGTTCTCCAGGAATGCCCGCTCTGTCCAAGCGTAGCGGTTCACGAAGCTTCTCATCGTTTCTTGTGGTGCCCGGTAGATGTGCTCATATGTATTGAGCAGCTGCCGTTTGAGGTGCACTGAACGAGTCTCAACCGCCTTCTGGATGGTGTCCATGATGAAGGTGACTCCATCCACATCGAAGATCTTCTCCAATGGGGCATCCTCAAGCTCCTCTTCCAACTCGCCCTTGAGGCTGTTGAAGAGAAGGATGCCGGCCTCGCGCTTTGGGACGTAGTTCACGACCTGCAAGGCCCACATTTCAATCCTTTTCTTCCACTTCCGGAAGGCAGCAAGATCATTCTTGTCGTAGCGCCAGCCTGGCGGCTCGGTAGCGGACACCATGAGTGGGTCCTTTCAAGGTGTTCCAGGTGCTCGGTGAGCTCGTGCTTCCACCAGGTGTACCTCGGCCGTGATCCGACGGAGGCGGATCGCCAGGGTCAGGAGCTGGGAGATGAGGCCCTGAAGGTGCCTTCGGCGATCTTGACGGGCTATGTCGTGAACCCTGAGGTAGGCCATGAGGTGAACCATGTGGTGAACCAAAAGGAGGTCCATGAGGTGAACCGTGTGGTGAACCGGAAGGAGGTCCATGTCCATGTCCCTGTGGTGGTGTCGGCTCTGATGGGGCTTTTCGCCTTCGCCTTCTTCGTTTGGGCTCCGGTGCAACATCTTGTGGAGTCCCTTGAGGTCGAGGTGACGGCCTGAGACTGGGCGTGATCGTAGGATCACAGGTCGCCGTCTCCGTTTCTGCCCACTCTGAGTCTGACCCTTGTGATCCGTCAGGACCACAAGGAGGTGAGCCGGCTGGTACTTGGGGAACTCTAGGAACATGTACTTGAGGTAATCCCGGAACATGTACATGGGGTACTCCAGAAGGTCCTAGGTGAGGTCGTCCAAGGAACGTCGTGGTCATTGGGGTACTCCACGAAGTAGTGGTGTACATCTCTGGTGCAGTGCGGTAGGTTGTATTGGGCTCAGCTCTAACCTGGCCGGGTGGATCGGGCTCAAAGGTGCCTGTCCGCTGGCCTCGGTGAACTGGTTGGGACTGCAGTGAGAAGGTCGTCGAACCCGCAGTCCATACAGCGCCAACTTTGCCATTGGTCACACCAGGCGTAACTCCAAGATCTGCAAGCCGCACATCGCCAGCAATCATCCTCCGTCAGGTCGGCATGAAAGGCGACGGGCTCCAAGGAGGTCTCTGACCTAGGTGGCGAACCAAGGGAAGGGCGCCACACCATCCCAGCCGCACCTGCAGCGCGGTCCAGCAGCGGCTGGTCTTCCATGAAAGCGGCCAGCATCGCCGCATCGCGCCGAAGGGGCATGGCGGCGAAAAAGCGGCACCCGGAGTCAAAGCTCCGCTGCCAACACAGCGAGATGCGTGCTCATGCACTCGCCACTTTTCTAAGCTCGAAAGGCTGGCTAAAGGTGCACCTGCGGACATGAGAACGTGAGGAACCTGAATCACGAACGGGCATGCGTGGTGCAAGACAGCTGGAAATTCTCAATATTTGTTGAAGTGTCAAGTCTAGGAAGTCGGACTTGGAGATCTCCCGTGGTGAAGCTGTAACTGCAGATCAACGGCATTGAGCTAAACACGACTCTGCTGACATTGACAGAAATCAACCTTGCGCACCGTCAGCAGAGGGCTCAGCAGCAGCACTCACATCTCCCATTGGTTTCACTGTCTCCTGCTCGTCACAGCTCCAAAGGACATGCCGTGGCCAGTTCTTTGGCAAAACGAGTATCCTTCATGTCAGAGAAGCCTTGATGAATACGATACCATAGCCACTCGTCCTTGCAACAACATTAAGTATGTTACAGTGCGTTCTTGTGTTCGTTGCTACTCCCTGAAAATATTAGACTAGCTGCTTCTGCATACTGCCTTCAACAGGTGAGATTGTGGTGACAGGATCAAACAGTCCTCGGCTTTCCTGAGAAGCTTCGAGATGGCAAGATTTCCTCTGGAAACATGCCTGAGGACTGACATGCAATTGGCTTGTAGACTTTTTGCAGTGCCCAGCGCCTTGCGGTTCTCCCATCGATGTTTCTCAGAAAAACATCTGAGCCTGCCTGGTAGAAGTCTTCATGATCTTCCAGATGCACAACTACGAATCAATCAATAAAATAGTTGTCTTCTGAATTTTATGTCTTGTGTAGAATCATACATATACCAGTCCTCGATCAGAACTTGTACCTGCAGTTGATTCTAGTTCCAAGTTCCCTGCATGTCTTCTTCTAGGATCAAACTTGATTCATTCTGAGGAATTGGCAACATTGACGTGGCAGGCATGTCCGGCGAGATGCAATGGCGTCCACAAGTGTGAGCCACCCCTCCAAGCGTGAGTCTTTACTCCAAGTGTGAACAAAAAAAAACTGTGAGGCCTGAGGTTGAGATCGAATGCGCGTGGGCAGGTTCTGATTCTGGCCGCAATTTTTGGCAGCTGCTTCTTGCTTGCCCTGCCACAGGCAATGTGATTCAGAAGCTCCAATCGTCACTCCCATCCACTATTCTCCACACAAACATGACAGGTCCACTCGTGATTGCATTCTCCCTTTTGGCAGGCTGCGTCGGCGGTATCCAGGTTACTGCGCAAAAACAAAGTGAGGGCATGCCATGTCGCAGTCACCAGCAACTAGCTGCTACCAGAAGCCCTTCCCACCTCAGCACAAAGGCAATCCCCCGGAGCTGGCCTGGGATCCACCCCTCCTTTCTTCTCGAAGTGGAAAGTCCAGAAAGCTCTTCTAAAGTTCAAGAGTGACTGTAACAGCTTTTACCTATGTTCAATTGTTTCTGCATGGTTTCTTCTGTGATCGAGAGCTTCTCTAAAAGTTCGCAGAACCAAGATCCGATTGCTGGGGGCAGTGAAAAAAGGTGCACGAGAGTTGGATAATGCTTGAAGATTGGTGTGGCAAATTCACTGTGGAAAAGTACAGCCTCTTCTCGCAGCAAGATGTAATGGAGCCCACTTGTCACTGTTCATCCTGACCCATGCGCTCTGGCCAAGGTGCTCTCGAAGGTACATCTAGCACATGTTGCAGATGTTGCACACTTGTCCGAGTGTAGCACATGTTGCAGTCAGCATTGTGCTGCAAAAGGATCTTTCCAATCGTCGCAGCACGTTTTCCCCCCTCAAGAGTTTACAAAGCACTGGGCGAACAGCAACTGCCTTGTTCTTGTAACTTTCACAAGTGCCTTGTCAAAGACAGACATCAACACATGAAGTGGACAGTTGCCTTAGATCGGCACAGACAAGCACCAAAGCCAATGAGCCAGCGTTTAGTAGGAACAGCTCAATATTCTTTCTGCTCCATGAAACTACAGGGTTCAATTACCTCACCGACCCTGGACATGGCACGTGTTCTCCATTCCTATTGTTCACGCTGCATCAAAATGGGGTCCACAGTGTGGCCTGCAGCAGGAGGTGGTGTTTCTTGGTGTAGAAAGTGAACCAATAGGAGAGAAGCGGCCATCGGCATCAGTTTGGTTGACATCTGCTTTGCCCCGAATGAGAAGCATCACCTGAGTCCGGCAATGGAATCCTGTTGTGCATCCACCGAAACAGATCGAGCCTGCCTGTCTGTCTCTTTGTCTCCCTCTCTCTGTCTCTCTCTCTCTCTCTATGTCTCCTCTGTACTCTTTCAGCCCCTTGCCATTTGAGGGTCAAAGTTCACGGTTGCAACGTGCAGCGGAGACCCGAAAAGGCCACCACCGCGATTTACTTCGACGCCAGTCTGCAAGCACTCAAGATGTACAGTGCATCTTTCCATCTTTGGTTTCTTTGCTCTTCTTCTCTTTGGACCTTAGACCTTTCCCTTTTCTTTCCTGTTCTTTTTCTCTATTCTTTTCTTCTTGTCTTTTCTTGTTCAAACTGAGAAGCGCGCTCTGACCAAAGCACTTGCTATGTCTGGGTGTTCCTGAGTAAAAGCCCCAAGGTACTGTGTTGCACAGCCCAATCGATTGACTTCGAGGGCACCTCCCGCACGGCTACCAGCAACGGTGAATATCCTTCGCAGTCTAGTGAGTCGTTCTTTGACCTCGAAGGTAGTGAAAAGGGGTTGCCATGTCAAGGATAGAAAAGCAAGGAATTTGAAAGGATGTTCAAGAAAAGGGCTCAATCCTTTAGTGGGAGGAAACAACAGGAGGACGAGCTCAAGGCTGAATCAAGAAGCATACTACACCAATATAAAGTTAGTATAAGGGTCAGCGTGCACTCAGGGCCGCTTGTACCATCTGAGTTGTTCTAGGCACATCTATTCTGCACTTCATGTACCACGCTTCCGCCGGATTGGAGTTCACAGACGTTCTCACATTTTGTGCAGGCAAAACGTGTGGTTTTCATGCATCCATTGGCATCCATGCGGTCCGAAGATGATGAGACCTGAACTGTGTCGCGGTGTGCTCCCGCCGTTTGAAGTCCTTTTCTCCTCATGCTCCTTGAGCGTGCACTTCCTTGAAAATCCTTTCTCTTGCACCACAAAGTCACCCCAGCATCCCCCGCAGCGAGTGTCTGCTCATATAGACATTGTGCTGTATATATATATATATATATATATTTGAGCATCACAAGCTTCTTCTGGTCCCTCCAGCGTGCGAGGTTCTGGTGGACAAACCATGCATCATCTAAACGCCCGGAGATTGAAACCCAGCAGTCCTTCCTGTTGAGATTGTCCGATTCTCACATGTCACCTTCCAAGGTTTCCTGATGTTGGTATTTGTAGATTGGTGCTGTATTGGCAGAACACCTTTCCGACGTTGGGAGGGCGCATTGAGAATCATGAATGAATAATGAACTACAGTCTCTTGAGTTCAACCATGCTTGCAGCAGCTCACTTCTGAGCATGGCACTGCGTCATTTCAGCCAAAGCAAGGGCAACACCGACATGCCCTTCCAGGCATGCCACATGAAGCCTTGGGTTGGGCTCGACATGTCAACATGCCATGAAACTGAGCAGGAAGTTCAGATTCCGGCCTGGTTCGTCGCTTGGAATCAATGGCGTTTGCATCAAATGCCTTCTGTGAAAACTCCGAAAGGACCTGGCAAGAAAAAGAAAGAACGCTACAGTTCTGCTCGGAGCATCTGAGAAAAGCGAATTGACTATTTCATGTCGAACTTGTTTGCGGCCTTGCCTCGATGCAAGTTACCCGGCCGTCCTGGCAAACTTGAACTACAATCGACAAAGCCCCTAGATCCCCTAGTAGCGATGCCAGGAGCCCCTAGTAGCTTTTTGTTCCTAGTAGTAAGGCCAGGAGCCCCTAGTAGCGTCCTTGCTCCTACTAGCGATGGCCTCCAACCAACTTCAATGGTGGAATTCAAGACCCCAACTGATCATCAAGTTTGGAGTCCTTCTTGTCCCGGCACAATTCTCTGAGCTTGGTGATGATCTGCTGCCATTCTGAGCCTTTGATGACACGCGGCAGCGGAGGTGTTGTGTACCTGCTCGAGAATAACACTTCGAGCAAACGCATTACAGCTGATACAGGCACCTGAACCATTCAAGCGCTAATTCCTGCAAGTTCTCCAGGAGCCTTTGGGGGACAATCAGCAGAAAAGTAAAACTGAAGTTATTCCATCGAAGTATGAGTGACCAAGAATCCGGCGCCATGCTAGATGGCAGGATCGTAAAACTATTGTGATGCAAATACAGTGTTTGCAGCTCTCTGCACCTCGCACAACAACACAGCATGATTGAGAAACATCTCCTCGCGCATTCTATTCACAACTCAAGGTGCAAATTGCATCAATGCAATCAAACAACATGGCACAACATGAAGGTCCACTCAGAGCAAAACTGACCCAATTCCATTGGAATTTCTTCTATGAAATTGTCACCTTCAATGCTGCCACCATGCGATGCAATAGCACAGCCAACTGCAGATTTGCAACATGTGCAGGTATATAGTTTGGAACCAAACAATGACTTTGTACACCAATTCTATTCGTTTGGCGAACCCTCTGAGCCTCTTGCAAGCAACTGTTCAACCCCATGGCTTGTAAATGTTGGCATGTCCGGCTTTGAGTGCTCGGCCCAGATTGAGACTTTTGAGTGACTTCATAGACCCCACAGCCTGAAGAAACCAAAGGAGGAGCTGAGGAACCTTTGCCGTAGGCTTTCACAACCCCGCCTTTGGGAGTGTTTTCAGCAAGTTTTGACTAACTGATAAAGCCTTGAGATTCGGCAAGAGGCATACCTTCCCGATTGCGGTGGTCAAACAATAACAAGCAAGGCAGAGGCTAACACAGGTTGCCTCATCAGGAAGTTCCCGAAGCCGATTTTGGTCCAGGAGCAAGTCCTGCTTTGAGGAAATATATATATATATTATCAACAAATGATCCCTTGACACACGAAGTTCAGGAACCGAAATGCACCTCTCAAGCGCACATGTTTTCCGGGAGGCGTACCCGAATTGGCTCTAGCTATGCGCGCGTGCCCGCCCTTGCTTGAGCACGCAATCACAAGTGAAAACACATCAGCATCGATCGATCGTCTCGAAGGTTTCGTGCCGAAAACTCACATCGGTGGGAGCTTAGCCAGGATTGCACCTGTTGCATGGTCTTTTGCAGACACTGTTCGACCCACCACATGTGCGAGTTCTATGCCAGCATTCACCGGAGGGAGTCACGTAGATCGGCCCTGGAGCTGTCATGACTGCCGGTCCCGAAACAGCACCAGTCCTCAACAGCTGCACTGCTTCATTCGCCAGCGTCAGCTCACCTTGAAGCCGGAGGTTTTCCTGTCTCAAATCATGGTTCTTCTTTTCTTCTCTCTCCAGATCCTTCAAGATGCTTTCACGCTCTCGCTCCATTTCATCCTCAAGCTCATGGAGTTCCAGCTTGAGTCGGGCGATCTCTTCATCTGCCTTGGACTGCGTCTCACCTCTGGTGGGGCAGCACGAAAACACAAGCCGACCAAGGAACCACAACAATGTCAATGCTCCGACAATGCTCGACACAATGAGGGCCTCAAAGCTACCGAAACTCCAGTCATCATGAGTGGATGCAGCGGCCTTCGTCACCTCATCTGCCATGATCAGCGCAATCAAACTCTGCGCTATGTCAGAACGTGTGGTGCGAGTCTCACGGATCGTCTTTGCTCGCTCCTCCTTTGACTTCTTCTTTGCAGCAACGAATCCTTCATCAGCAACCAACTGTATGTGGCTACCACGGTATCGTTCAACAAAGTTCTGTCGAGCTCCAACCTTTGTCAAGCCATCTGACAATTGGCGTTCACTTGAAACCCAACGCCACTGACAATGTAAATCTGCCAGCAAACTTTTGATCACCAAGCCCTCTATTGCAACACGTTTGTCTGCTGCTTGCTGAATCGTTTCACGATGCACAGCGTCAAAGAGTGCTTTGCAATCTGTCACCATGGCTGACTCACCTGAAAGGCTGTCCTTGATGTCCTTCAAAGCGACACCAGGCCTTCGAAGACATTCTGTAAATGTCTTGACCATGAGGAGCTCCTCCAAGGCTGTGGCGCATGCCTGACACTCAGCGGCTAAAGAGCTCCTGCAAACTCTGGGGACTTTGAACGACCTCCAAGCAACAATGGATGCTGGCCGCTTCTGGCCCTGCAAGACTCCTTTCTCACAAGCCAAAATCATGAATCCTCCTTGCGAGGTATGATCTGACCTCACGCTGAATGCAGCATCTGCATAGCAAACCAGGCACAAATCACTCAGACTTTTAGCCTGACTACGCTTCTTTTCACCAGCTGGGCAACCAAGAAACTTCAATGTAACTGCTGCATTCGACTTTGCAAAACGCAATGTCTTGTTCAACTCACGAAGATGCAGCACCTTGCCCTTTGGAACTTCACCGGCCTGAATGCTCATCGAAGCGCACAAGATCGGCATGCCCTGGGTTGCAGGCCACTGTAGTGCTCCTATGAGGCCACGAGCTGCACTGACCTCTTGTGGTGTCACACTGTCTTCATCTTTTCGACCTTTGTGGATGGTCATCGGACATAGCTTCTTGATATACTCTTCGTAGCTGACCTCAATGCCATGCTGATTCCTCAGGATTGTTCCTCCGCAGTACTTCAACGACTGATCTTCTGTCAACTCGTCCCATTTGCCAAAATTGAAATCTTTACGAAGGAACTCAACTGCCTGTGCAAACTCAGCATCTTGCGTGCTTCCAGCCAGCAACATGTCATCAACATGTAAAATCAACATGCCTGTCAAGCTCTGATCCTTGCTGGATGGCAACACGAAGCAGCACTGATCTAGTGGGTGGCTCAACCAACCACGCTTTGTCAGCCTAGAAGCAGCTTCTTGAAACCATAGCAGCGGTGCGTCGCACAAGCCGTACGCACTCTTCTTCATCTTCATGTACAAGTGCTTCTTGTACACTTTCTGCTGTCCTCCATCGACCAACGGCAAACAATCCATTGGCAGCCTGACAATGAGCACCCTGTCAAAACCTTTTCCAGACAAGAAAGCCGCCTGAACATCAGCACAAAACACTGACCATTCCATCCAAACAGCTACTGTCAGCAACATAGTTCGACTGGTTCGACCGGCAGTTGGGCTTGCGGTCTTCATATTCAAGATGTCAGGATCTTGAAATCCTCGCAAAACCAATCTGGCCTTGGCCTTCCAACGGGTGATGCCATCTTCTGTCTCCAACTTCTTCCAGGTAAGAACACAGCGAGCAGAAATCACACGTTTTGTTCTGATGGCACTTTCAATCTCACTTGTCGTTGCAAACTGCCATACTGCATTGCTAAAATATTGATCAAGCTCCTTGCGTTTGCCCTCAACAAACTGAGCTCGGCCTTGAGGATCCAGCTTCCGTTCATTGACCTCACCTTTGCGAATTGCGGCCATCAAGACATCGTCCATCTCAAGTTCACCATCAACAATTCGCCATCCTGAGGGAACATCTTCAGGAAGCTGTGTCAGAAAAACATCTTCTATCACCAGATCATCATCGTCCGGCGCGGGGATGCTTCCTCCTCCAAGATCGCCAGGAAACTCAGGCACTGAACTGGATGCCCTGATGGCTTTTCCTGGTGGCTCTTCAGAAGCAACATTTTCTGACTTCCTCTTTGGACTCGATGGAGCTGGAGCATGTGCTGTATCCTCTTCCAAATCTGTCGGGGCTGCAGTAGTCACCGACTCACGACGTCGGGGTGTTCTCTCTCGATCTTCTGCCTGCAACCTTGGAAGAAAAACACTGATCACTCCAGGAACATTGGGCTCTTCTGTCTCTTTTGCATTGCCAGTTGATGCATCATCATCTGAACGAGGGTCTTCTGCTTCTTCAACACTTCCTGGCAATGAGGGTGTATACTCTGCATCAAGCTCAACATCATCTCCGTCAAGCTCATCTGCTTCGTCGATCTGGCCACTGCGTCGAAGTTCATCCTTGAACTGTGTGGTGCTCCTGGCTTTCAACTCTTGCAAGTCACGAAGTGCTGCTTGCCGATCACACGCAACCGGCATCCCAGTGTCTTCAACCATTGGCCTCACCTGTCGTGCACCACAACGTAACAACGATGTGTCATGACAAAGCCAATACACATTGACACTTGGCTGTTTTTGTATTGCAACAATCCTTGCAGGGCCACGCCAACCGGACTTTTGCAGCCTTCGTTGATGCTTGCGCCAATACCAAACCTTTTGCCCAATCACCAGCTCCTCTTGCATTTCAGCAAACTTCTGAGTGAAGGCTCGGCGCAACTTGGCATCTGAATCTGCTGCAATGAAAGCTTTTGCAGCTTCTGTCCGTCTGGCCTGGATCTGAGCGAAATTGCCCTGTTCATCAATGGCCTCTTGTGCAGGATTGAAAAACTCTCCACTGAGACCGTGAACATAGGTCATGGATTTGCCAAGAACCCACTGCTGAGGAGTGAACCCACGATGAAAGCTGAGCTGGTTGATTGAATGAGGAACATACAGTGCGGCCTTCTTCAACGATTTGAGATCATGACTGTCGCACTGGTCCATAAACAATTCCAATGCTCGTCGGACAACTTGATGCTTCCTCTCAACAACACCAAGCCAGCTATGATTCTCAGCAGGTTGCACTTCCAGCGTCACACCACGCTGTGTGGCCCATTCTCTGACATGCTGACTCGACCAACCTTTTGCCTCGTCAATGCGCAGAATCTTCGGAACTCCAAAATGCTTCACCCAAGCACGCTCAAGACCTTTTGTGAACTCATCAGCGCGCTCAGATTGTAGGATCCGAACTGCACAATATCTGGTGGCATGGTCGATGATTGTCAACACGCACTGTCGACCTGTTGGCCTCTTCTCCTTCTTATCCTTCTCTCTGCGACGAGCTGCTGGTGTACCTGGTGCAGGAACTCGTTCTTTCACCATGCTGTCTTCACATGCAATCCAGTGACTGTCAACGAGGATCCTTTCATTGAACTCAGTACACTTCAGCCCACTTGCAGGTGGATTGGCCTTTGGAGGCTTGCGAGCATAGCACAATGGACATGTGTAAAACTTTGCAGCCTGAAGAACATTGTCTGTTGCTTGAATCTCTTTCAACATGCGATGAAGAACTTCCCAACCTGGATGGCCAAGGTACTTGTGCAGCCGTTGCACATACTCAACAGCACGAGGTCCAACCTGGGATCGTAGGATTCTGTTCTTCCGCACTGGATCCAAGCTATCAAACTCTTCAGACTCGAGTGCCACTGCTCTCTTGTCATCTTTGGGATCTGCTGCCTTAGGCTCACCGACAAAACGTTCAGCTCCTTGATGACGACCAGCCATGTAGTCTGCAATCTCTTGTTGAGCTGATGGCAAATCCTCGACAGCAAAGATGTCATCAGATTCAAGCTCAGCAATGATAGCATTCACGAGGTGACTGGCCAATGCCTGAGGATAACTCTCTGCAAGCCAGGAACGCAAACCAACACCAGGAATACTGCCTTCCAAGTGAGTGTGTGAGTGTGTTCCATCACAATGCTTGCTGATCCTCTCTGACAAGGATGCTCTGGTGGTTCGAAATGTCGTGGGCTTCTGAACTGGCAGCATCTCATTGTGATCATTGAGAAGGCGTAAACCAAACACGCACTGATCCACATGAGCATCATGCCCATTCATCGCTTGGAATGCTGGAGTCGCCCAAGCACGTGAACGTTTGGGATGTTCACACAACGCCAGCTTGCCTTTCCTCCTCTGATGCTCAAAAATCACTGAACAAAACATGAGGATGTTGTCGTGGTCCCACTGTCGTGCAATGTCCAGGGTTTCAGCATAGCCTTCATGAGCTGCACACGTGAGCTCTTGTAGACTGCTCCATAGCTTGCACATAGGGGAGATCAACACACAATCTGGCTCCTCAGACTTCAAATGACGAAGAAATGCCATTCTGTGAGAGGCCTGAGCAAAATCCCAACCATCACTCAATGAGAAACGTTCACTCTGCATGTTCTGTCGCCTTGCAGCTGTCTTGCTCACACGACCTTCTCCAGCAAACACTTCCCACAAGACATACTTGCGGTCATAGTCCCGTAGTGGAGAGGCTTTGAGAACATCTTCAAACTCTTTGATCCTCCGCTCGGTGTCATGCATGAGCTGTCGAAGCTTGCCGGATGGCAGCTTCTGGAAGACTTCACGGTCTTCTGGCGTGGAGGACGGAGAGCAAGCAGCTTCATGTTCATCTGGTTTTGCCCTTGGATCGCAACTCAACTCTTCTGTCACCACAACGTCATCATCTGACTCGAGATCCATCGTGATCTCACTGCATTGAAGGCTCGTCATCAGCTGTGCCCCTGCGTCTTCAGGAGGTGGTCCACTCTTCTCACAAGCCGATGGACTCTGTTGTGACTCCAAGATGGTAGTCACTGATGTGAAACTTGGATGTTGTGACTCCAAAATGGTAGTCACTGATGTGAAACTTGAATTCTCCTGCTCATCAATGACACTGTTCACCGAGTCCTCGCTCACGTTGAGCATCGACTGCACCTGACCATCAAAGAAAATCTGGGTGGACAGTGGCTCTGGGTGAACATGTTGCTCAAAGTCATCTGGGAGCAGGATGCTGGAAGGCTTCGTCTCAAGCAACTTTGACACATCTGAGGCCATGTGGCAAATGAATTCGCCTCGAGTGCCACGAGCACACTTCTTCCATGCCTTGCGGCCCCACTTGATCTTGCCTGCCGAATATGAAATGGTGATGTCCAATGCCTCCATGATTGGGCGTCCAAACAAGAATGGTGCATCACCTGGAATGACATACATCAAAATGTCACGGCGGCGGCCCTCCATGAACGTGGGAACAAGCAAGCAAACAGAAGTGATATTCTTCTCTCCATTGCCAAACCTGAAGCCTTTCTTGCAACGGAAGACTTGAATCTGGCTCAAATTGAACCCTGCTGCCATCAACATCTCGAGGTACTTTCGAAGTCTTCCCTCTGAGGTCAACACTGAACCTGCTCCACAGTCCATCATGGCGATGTCATGGGACATAGTGCCATTCTCCTCAACTGCCAGCTGAATGGAATCTGGCTCATCGGACTCGAATGGAGCAACCATGTTGATGTCAGCATCTGTCTCCGCTTTTCTCTTGCCAGCAACGGGGCACGCTTTGGCTCGATGTCCAGCCTGACCACAACGCAAGCAACGTTCTGCACCAAGAGCTGCACGGCCACGGGCTTTTGGCTGAGGTGGAGGTCGTGGATTCTGCTTTCCACCTTTTCCAGCATGACTCTTGCCCTTGCCTTTGCTCTTGCTCTTGCCTTTGGGCGATGAAAAACTGCCCTTGCCACTGGATGAAGCTTGTTCTGGAATCATCGCAACGACCGGGTAGTATCCTCTGCTCATCCTCATCTGATTCAGTCGTTGTCGGGCTTCTGTATATCCAGCTAGGACCTCATCGTATTCTGCAGCAAGGTCATCATTCACTGCATGAATCTCATCATCGCCGTCTTCTTCTCCTCCGTCATCACCACCATCATCGGCCCAAAAGCAATCTGGGTCCTCGTCAGCATCTTCACCATACTCAAAGTCAAAGCTTTCGTCTTCTTCACCATAGTAAACAGCTTCTTTGTATGGTGCACGCCAACGACTTGAGGCCTTGGTGGAATAGGTCGAATGACCTTCAGGTGTACTGTCCTGCCCAATGACAAAGTTCATAGCCTTGCGAACCGTGTCCAGCGACAATGTCTCAGTGCCCAATGCACTCATGATCAACTGTCTCTGCTGTTGGGTCAGTCCAGCTCTCCTCATGAAATACCAGCCAACAACCTTATCTGGCAATGTGACATTGTGGGCTTCCAATTTCCTCAATGCTCGTTCAAAGTCACCAGCATATTCTTGCAACGTCGAGTTCTTCTTTCTATGCAACGTGCAGAAAAATGCTTCAAAATCTCCAGGAAGCTCCGTGATCGCGTCGAACTTGAAGACCTTATCCAACCGTTCCAAAATCTTCTGCATGGCGGTGGACCCTTCAAGATCTGACATGGAGATGTCATCACATGCATCCCATGCACGACCCTTCAATGTCACCAGCACATTGAAACTGGTCTCTGAGGACCTGCCGGCCAAACTCATCTTCTTCTCGTACAGGAGCAACCTCTTCCTGTACTCCTTGTAGTCGCTCGACTTGCCAGAAAACTCAGGAACATTCTCGTGAGCTTTTCCAACATAAGCAGTCGAAGCCGACCCACTGCCTTGCGCTGCAGTCCCTGTGGCCATCAATGCACAATGTACGACCGACAGCAACCAATGTCAATGCAATCAACTCAACCAACGATCAAATCGCAAGCAATGACAGTGTTGCTCAAGGTACAATGTGCAACCAACCAATGCACAAAAGGCTCCGCGCCACCAACAACAAATGATCCCTTGACACACGAAGTTCAGGAACCGAAATGCACCTCTCAAGCGCACATGTTTTCCGGGAGGCGTACCCGAATTGGCTCTAGCTATGCGCGCGTGCCCGCCCTTGCTTGAGCACGCAATCACAAGTGAAAACACATCAGCATCGATCGATCGTCTCGAAGGTTTCGTGCCGAAAACTCACAATTATAATATACAAAAATACCTGGAAAGGTCCTCCAAGTCATGCATCAAGGAAATATCTCTCAATAGTTCCTGGACGTCATGAAGGTGTGCGCACAAAGACACGTACACACTTCGCTAGCACTGTCCTCCAACGCATTCTTTCGCAAATCCAAGACCTGCTGGCTTAGTTAGGGAATTCTGCATACAAGGATAGGAAGAAAAGTGCTGCAAACCGCTGACCTTGACATGCGTAAAAGCACTGACAACCTGACAGGAGGAACGCAGGGCTCAAAAGCGTCAGCCCAAAAATATACGGTTTCGCTCTGCGGCCTCTTTGGGAATGGCAGAGATCTTGTGGTCTTTGAGATCAAGCACCTTCAGGCATTGAAACATGTAGTGCTGTATTCCAGCACATTTCTGTCCACTTCGACATTGTGTCATAGGACGTGAAGTTGCAGAACTCGCCTTTTCCATGAGGCTGGTGTGCCCAAGTCACTGACGCACACCCTTTTTCTGACACACACTATGTGCTCGGCCTAGCTCTTTTCCACAAGAAGCTATATAAGTGTTGCTACAAACAGAACCCAGAAGCTGCATGAACTTAGCAAAACTCAAACCTTGAGTTTGGTGCCTGAAGGTTGTGCTGCGAGGCGGCTGTCTCTAAGGCTGACAAGTTCAAAGTACCAAGCCTTGGCACTTTCCACAAAACAACAAACACACAAAGGAACCTACTAGCAAAAGGAATCTACTAGCGATGGCCTCCAACCTAATAGCCAAAAGATTCCAAAAATACAAAGATACATCAAGATCTTGCAAACATCCATCACAGGTCGCTGCTTGGCAGTAGGAACGGAGGCAAAGATCCCCTTGAGTGCCGAACAACAGATAACTCTCGGGCTTTCTCCACATCTCTCTCCCCCTCTCCGTGTCTTGCCTTGGCCTCCTTTCCATCTTGGGCCACCATGCCCCTCAAATCAGTGCCTTTTAAGGGTCACAGTGCTGGCCAATTCGAGCACTGTCAATGTAGCTGTCTGACTTTACTCAGTGGATCCTCTGCAGCCCTGTTAGTTTTAGTTGCACTTGAAATTGGTCTACAAGAAGCCAAATGCGAGTCGTGGTAAAGCTGCTAAGGATCTTCAGTGCTCTTTTGTCTGCATGTTGGAATGTCAAGGTGCCCTTCTGGAGCTCCTGCTAGCTTTCTGGTGTTTTGCGTGTCTTTACAGTCCAGTCTGCGTGTGAGGCTACTAACTACACATGCTCATGATCATATCAGCTCTGGAGCCAAGCCAGAACAAGCGATCAAAGGCATGGTGTCCTTCATGCAACGGTACATCTCACATCTCAACGCACTCCTCAGAACCTTGGATAACAAGCTACTAGTAACAAGTGCCACGCTAGTAAAGTAGTAACAGATGCCCTACTACTAGTAACAAAAAGCTATTAGAATTAAAATAGAATTTTTTAAATTAACTATTAGCTTCTTGTTACTACTAGTAAGGCACTTGTTACTAGTAGCGATGCACTTGTTACTACTAGCTTTCTAATTACTATCAAATATTTTTTCCCTGGAATCAATGCACAGCAGCCGTTGCCTTGCCTCAGCCATACTGGCATGTGAAAGTTGAAAATTGGTTTGCTGCTCTGCTCTCCTTCGCTCAATTGACACCAGGTATGAGGTAGATACTGCCAAAAGCGTTCGGCGCTGTGTCAGCACGTCCTGTCAGTAAAGTTCACATCAAGAGTTTTGAAGGTAAGGCAGTCAAAGGATGGATCATCTCTCCTGACCAATCAGGGCTAGGGGCTCGGTGCTGTCACCAAAAATCCTGGCAATTGCTCAGCTATTGGTGCTAGACTGGACTCGGAGCCTTCAGCCGCAACTTAGATTGAGGCGCTGGCTGTTTGAAGCTGGCAACATCTCCCACCGCAACCTGAAAGCTGCAAACATCTCTGTGATAGGACGGAAAGGAAGATCCATCAAGGCCCTGCCTGAATTGGATGTGGAGTCCAACACCCTGGAGGTTCCCGACCAGCGCCATGGATCTGCCAGGCAAAACGGAAGGACGTCCTAACTGGGCCTAAGCTCTCTGCTCTTTGGGGAGTTTGACACGAACTTGGGAATGTTGAATCAGCAACCAGTTAAGCTCTTCCTTGCCATTACTCAACCCCGCCGTACGACCCACTACGAACCTCCAAGTTGGCCTCCATGATGGGCATCAGTAGCTCTTGACCCCGCGTGTCGAGCGAGGTAACGCCTCTTGTGAGCGGTGAAGGTGCAAAGCTGGTGCTGATTCGCTCTTTCGCAGACTAGGTCCTACAGTGCTCGCATCTGCATGCTTTTTTTGGCCTGGGTTTTCCGGGTTTCACCTTGGCGTTTTGCCAGGGATGCTTGATTTGGAGTGTCCCCTTTTGGGGTGAAGTGGCCAACTGCTCAAACTGTCAGAAATATATATACAAATATCACCTGTGAAGTAGTCAGACATGACTCTGTTGGAAATTCCTCCGGAATTCTGAAACGTCACTGATGAAGTCTGCTTCTTCGAAGACCAAGAGAACAACATTATTTCCGATTTCACGGTATTACTTTCTATTCAACAATGGAAACGCTTTCCAAAGGACCGTGCCAATCCTTCCATCAACTGCCTATGGTGACAATGGAGCTGGACCGGGCTTGGAGTCATCAGCAGGGTGTATGCGAATGATCGGAGTGGTAAACTTCTCTTTCTTGGGTACACACTGGCAGCAGCACACGTAGTAGAGCTTGTGCAGAGTTAGGGTTGCGCAAAGAATGCAAGCCGTCCACAAGAAGCGAAAGAACTTGCGAACTCTGTGACAACAGCCCTCCATTGAACATCGGCTTCGAGTGTCCAAATCTCCACTCTTCCATGCACTTCGTGCGGCCTTGACAGCACGCAACTGGGCTTGAAGTCGGTGGATTTCAGACTGCGCAGATCGCAACTTTGCCTCGGTTCTTTGAAGACGACGTGCAACCTGATCCGATGCCTGTGATGTAGCTGAGGACTCACGGCCCTCACGCATTGGCGGAGGAGGTATGCGCCGGCAAGCTTCAAGAAGGTCTCCCTCTGTGAGTTCCAAAGACGGATTTGAAGCTGAGACCACAGCTTCCCGTGCATCCAGAGATTGTTTTGCAAAGTCAAAGAGACGTTCACAGAGTCCACCATTCATCATTTCACGTGCCTGTTGTAGAGTATTCGCTTCAATCAAAGCTGCCGTTGCTTGCAGATTGTTTTTGATCAATGCAGGTGCCAGCCTGAATCCAGCGTTGGTAACGATTGACTTCAAGATCTCCGCAAGCTCGAAACAAGAGTAGTCACTGAAATCAAATGTGTAACCAATGCGGCGATATAGTCCTGAGTTCGCCTGCATAAAGTTGTCCATATCATCTGCATACCCCGCAAACACCATGATGGGTGCTTTACCAGGAGGATCGTTCATTGCAGCCATCAGCTGCTCTATGGCTTCTCTTCCGAAGTCACTTTTCCCACCTTCCTGGCTGAGCCTATATGCCTCATCAATGAAAAGCACCCCTTGTTTTGCTTGTTCAATGACTTTTTGTGTCTTTGGCCCTGTTTGCCCGACATACTCTGCAACCAGCTTGTCGCGCTGCACTTCGACCAAAACATCAGTTTTTATGATGCCAATGCGATGCAAGAGCTGAGCAATAATTCTTGCCAGAGAGGTCTTTCCAGTGCCGGGATTCCCTTGAAAAATCATGTGGTACTTGGAGATTGTTCTCACATTGTGGCCAGTGTCCCGTCGCTTCTGGTCCATGACAATTGAATGATGAAATTGCCGTATCTGTTGCTTCAACAGCTCCAAACCGATCACTTGGTCAAGCTGATACTCTAACCACTCTCCTGTTCCACCAGCAAATACCTCTAGCTCAGCCCAGCTCACTGTTGAGGTCATGTTCAGGTCGATCTCAGAAAACTTCTCCAGCAATGGAGGGAATACTTCTTGGATCCTCACCTTGTGCTTCACCAGGTCGGCTACACGAATTTGCCCTGCTGGACCTGTCAGCATCTCAAGGTCTTCGGTCTTCACTAGCAGAACGGTTTGGAAAACTACATTCAGAAACCTCAACGAAAGAACAGATTCAAAAGGACCCAAACAACAAACATGCGCCACCAGAACACGAGGCCTGCCACTTCATCAAACATTCGCCGCAACTGTTTCATGTCCACGTCTCTTTTGCATTCCTCTGCGGTAGCTTTTCCAACACAAAAGTCAAGGAAGGCGTTGCGAGTTACCCTGCCGTCCCGGGCCACAGACTCATAGTCGCGAATAAATTCAGGACATTCATGTTCAAGAAGTTTCGACTGCTTCAAGACCTCCGGGACGGTCACGAAGCCCTTCTTACCAACATCCACCTTGTCCCAAATTCGAATGGCTTCAGCGCGGGTCTTTTTGCCATCTGCTGGCTTTGCAGGGTTGACCTTCTTCGGACCTCTTCGCATTGCTCAACACATTGCTCAATGCATTCATCTGGATGAGTGAGGAACCTGTCTAAAAATCATTTGCTGCAACATGCAAATCAATTAGAGACTCACCAAGCAAGCTATGAAACAGCACACACTGCAGCCGCTGAAACACCTTGTTTTGCTATTCCCGGAGTCGTTCAGGCTGTGATTGCACGACTTGGATTACACATGTTAATAGAAGATGTTCCACACTGTGTAGACAGCCGTCTCTTGCAAATGTAAAGTTACGTCTCCCTAAAAATCTAGAAAACAAATCATTAGTGCAAGCGCTTCTTCAAGGAAGCTTCCTTGAAGAAGCGTGAGCTATCCTGCGTCCAGTCGATAGTAGCTTCCTAGGTAGCGGCTACTTAAGCTACCTCAATGGATCTCCAAGTTTTTGTCTGCCCATGTGGCACTGTCCATCTCAAACTCAAAGCAGTCACGGCACCAAGCCTCCTCGCTGCAAAAGTTCTTCCGCATCTGCCTTCAAAAGTGTAAGCGATTGTTGCGCAAAATCAACTCCATGACTTGCTTTACACACATTGAATCTCAGTCCTTCAGCCTTCCGATGCCTACAAAGGCAATCCAAACCATGGGAAGAGAAGAGGGGAAAGCTGGTTGTAAACCTTAATCCGTAAGTCATCCAATCACCATTCTCGCGAATACATTTCGGAGTGCTGCTTGTTGTGACTGTTCAAGTGCAGGTTTTGGTAGTAGAAGAGGAAGCCCCTGAAAGCCAAAGGTTGATGGGCTCTACAAAATGTGGAATGTGATGAAACAAGACTTTTGCAACTCAACCTTTACAGCATGGAGTGAAATGAGTTGAACAAACACAAAATCTTGTCAGGAATTAGAATGAATCCGATCCTACAGTTGATGCGACCAGTACGAGTTGAAAAGCTGAACCTCCACAGTCTCAAGAAGGGATTCAGCGGCCGCCCAGTTTAGAACCTGGAAACATTGGCAATGTCTTCCTTGACAAAGTCCCACAAACAAGAAGTGTACTAGGTGTTCATTTTCGATGTTCTCTGCATGCACACACTCACAAACTCACAGTAAAAAGGAGTAGCATACAGAAATATCCAGAACACTGGCTCCTTGACATTCTCTGCGAGTGAAGAATGGGTGATTGCGTGAGACTAGTTGAAAGAGAAGAGTCCAAGAGGAGTCAAAAGATTGTTGCAGTCTGCAGTGAAGCTTGAAGCCCAAAGCACGAAGTGCGAAGGGTGAAGAGAGAGAGAGAGAGAATGCAGCAAGACAGGAGAGCGGGGAGACTGGAAAAGTGAACAAGAGCAAAGAAAATATTTGAAGGAGGCTTACCTTCCTTTGTTCATTCCTTTCTTTGATGACCTGCAAAATAGCGGCTCTGAGTTGCAGTCGGTAAACGAAGCTCCAGTGTCCAACACACCCTTAACACCTCAGTGTCCAATACATCACACTGAGGTCGGCAAATCAGTAGACTGCAATGTTGACTTTAGGCTGCAACGTGCATCCTTGCCGGTAACGCATACGTTGACTCCCAAAAGGCGGGCAGGAAGAGGAGCTGAGCAAACAAAGATCGATAAGTGTTCAGAGCTCCAAATTCCTAAGGTCAGCCTGTTGTCAAGCGAATCATCTCGTTGCGCAAAGCAGCTTGCTCTCCAGTGTCAGCCTGAAATCTCAGCTCGAAAGAACTCATCTCGCCGCAAGCTGAAGCTGCTCAAAAATAAAGTGAATGTAGGGCAACTTGGCCTCGTAGAGACGTATTTCTGTTCCCAACTCAACCTGATTTTTTTGTGCCGAACAGCTTTGATCACTTCGAGCTTGAGCTGGTTCCACTTTACGGCTCCAAATCGATAATCCAAGCCTGCTACTGCAAACCTCTCAAAGAACTCCATACCTTTGACGTCAACTTGCAGACTGATGATATGGTTTTCGAGTCTTAGGACACGCACTACTCAAGTAGAGAAGAGAAGGGTTAGGCACCTGTTTCTTCTGGCCTACATCCTGTTCGTGCATGTCAGCAACATCTGCTACTTGGCCACATGCATCAGTGCTTGATGGAGCAGCAGCAGCAGCAGCTAAAGGCACCCAGCAGTTGACAGCCAGTGGGTTGTCTTGACATATCTGCTGCTGTCGCTACGCTCATGCACAGTTGTAAACATACCCCTTGTCCTGCTTCAGCACGAGCCCCATCAAACATTCTGAGGTAACAAGAAGCAGGTAAGTGATTGTCAATTTCACCACGAAAACCTGATACAACAATCACCAACATGGTCTGGAGCAGTGTAGCGTGAGCAACAAAGGGGATAGCACTAGCAAGCTTCCGTTGGTCCGCTAACCAGCGGTCCAGTGACCAAGGACCCAGTCTGCGTATGACACTACAACCGCTTCTTGCTCCTAGTAGTAAGGCCAGGAGCCTAGTAGCGTCCGTGCTCCTAGTAGCGATGCCCTTTGCTCCTAGTAGCGTCCTCTGTGTGTTCAGACTCTTCAGCGACGGCAGGTGCTTTGAGCGACGTCTGGGTATTTTAACACACCCAAGCAAGCACTTAGATGCATGCCTGCTACTATATATGTCTATGTCGTGTTACCATATTGCTTCCCCTTCATGTCCACAACAAGTGGTATGCTAGGACTTCTTCTCTGAGATCTTGTTAGCTGGACAGCTGAGACAAAAGGGTAAAGAGCCTCAAGATCGCTTAGAATATTCAGGTTTAAGCTACTTCACTTCGCAAGACTCAAGAAACAACCCAGTCAATGGTATGGAGGGAAGGGCAACCAAATCACCCTGGCCCTTCAGCCTTAGATGCTTCAATTTGTTTGAATGGGGCAGCAAGTTGCTGCCGTATGTTTTTATCTCCGTTGTCCAAACAAGACCTTGGAGTAGGAACATCTGAATCTGCAGACCAATTTGATTCTGGGCTCCATGCCAAGCATTCCATCTATATAACTGCTGTCATCCAGCCTGGTACAAGAGTGAACAGTTGGCAAGCTTCGTTGATCACAATGTGGCAATCCCCACTTGGCCAGCACAGTTTGTTGTCCAACCTTTGTTATAAGTGTCACCCCGCTGCACATGTATCCTTGCGTGGCTTCTCCGCCAGCTGAAATTACCGGTTCCGCACAGCCAGATTGCCTGCTCGTGCTTTTACAGGTTCTGCATTGTTAACTGTTAAATGTCTGTGATGCTTCAAAAACCATGCGAAATCACTTGTATTTGTTAGTCTCCTTCACCAAATCATCAATCAAGCCAGTCAAGTGTGAAAGTTGTTCAACTTGCCACAGAAATGCTTGTGAAGTCTCTTGTTCTAGGCAAGGTTTAGTGCGGCACCTGTCAACAGTACTGTTCTCTTGACAAGTGCTTCTTGTATTTGAATGGAACAAGAACCTACAGTGCTGGATGGATGCTGGCCTGCTCTGATAAAAGTCCATCACCAACGGCCTGGAACATGCAAAAAATCTGTTGAATTGGTAAAGGTGTTACTGTAGATCTTTTCAGCCAACTGCCTCAATGGGCCAATTTGGATGTCAGAAAGCCACACATCCTCCAACACCACCTCGACAAAAACAGTAACAATTGAGGAGAGACACTGAGAAATTGCATTGGAATGGCCTTGGAATCAGAAGCGCCTTGTGGCCTCCAAACGGTCGCACAAGAGCACAAAAATGAAAGTTGCGCCGCTTCGCACCACCTCAGACCGAGCTCTTCTGCTCGCTTTGGAAGAAGCAAAGACCTCAAGTATACACACTTTTAGCCCGCAACAATGTCCTGACCAATCGCAACGAAAACGACAGTTGAATAGCCAGGCTCCCCACGTGGTGAGGCCTGTGTCCAGCATGAACTTTAGTTTCACCTCACCGCATTCCATCTCTGGTGCTGCTGCCAGCACTCAGGTCACTCGTACGACAGAAAGAGCCAGATGGAGGCATTCATAAAGTGGCCTCTTGGTGTGCTCCCTTGGCGACAAGATTCACCACGTCATAGCCTTTCCCGAAAAAGTCCTGCTCTGAAGCTCTGCTGCGCTCTGTCGTCGTCTGTGTGTGTGTGTCTCTCTCTCTCTCTCTCTCCCTCTGGCCCACAATGCTAGGCAGCATAGCTACAAACACAATTCCGCACAATACTATTGTGCCACTTCATCTACATCAATCTTCAACCTTGCAGGAACTGAATGCTGGTCCTTCAATAGGTGCAACTCTCTTTTTAAACTTGAAACAGGCTGCAAAGACCACTGGTCATAACTTGAAAGTGGTTCAGGTGACAAAGGAAAATCACCTCGTCACCTTCTGGATCTGTGCAGCACAAGACGCCATGACAGCTAATGGCAACGTGGCAGCTCTCAGCCGAGATTGGGTAATTGCAGTGTTGCAGTTTCTTTGCGATACTTTGCGGCTGCTATCTTTGATATTATATACTATTCTCATATCAAATGATACATCCAATTTCAACCAACGGCTGCAGAGCGCTCACTGGAGTTTCTCACCCAGGACACGCCGCGCCATCGGGCCAACTTAAGCCAGCCTGAACCAGCTCAGCGCTTCTGAGCCATGTCCTGTCATTGGATACAATTTGATAAGACTGAGCAAGACTCTTTTGCGAAACGGGTACAACATGATACAAATGATTTTGCGATGCCTGATGCACCTTGCTGGACAGCATCAGTAGACTCCTGCAAAGGAACTCTGCAGCAAGGTGTACACACCCACACACAACTTGTTGTGTTCATGTCCGCCTTCCTTTGGCATCCAGTGCGGACTGCAATTGCGCCAAATCCTGGAAGCAATGTTGCGGACTGTCATAGCATGGCCCTTCTAGGCAGCTTGGACCATGCCACAGGTCAACGGAAAGCTGATGGCAGCGGGCCTCTGCCACACTTGCAGCAACTTTGGGATTACCAGCCTGAAGCCTCAATCCGACATGCGAGAAAAAGTCTCTGTGCTCCTTAAGACATGTTTTTCGGCTGCAAAACAATCAACTGACAGCAACTCGTTTTCTGACTTCTCCTCCGCCTCTCACACTTTAGGTATCAGGCTTGGAGAGCCGCCAACGCAGGTCCTGTATCAAATTGCCAAGACCAATTCGCATCCCTGATATCTTGTGGAGCTGGACCCTGCTTGCAAGACTGGCATCCAACATATGCTTAGTCTACAACTGAGTCTACAGGATCTCTCTCCTGAGCTTGCATTTCACATTCGGATAAGGCTTTGGAAATATCCTGGTCAGCGGTCCTGCCATAAAGGACGGAGGACTGTTTAAAGAGCAATACTGTACTATCGCTTCCAGCGCCTGAGATGTCCCAGGCCCTCACATCTCTGGGTAAGGCGGAGCTCCTGCACAAAGACTACTCGGCTGCTTCTCAACTTGAAAGCAAGCGACGAAAGCGGCCAAGCAACAATTAAGTAAGAGTGCCAAAAGAGCCAACAAATGTCATCATTGTGCAAAACAAGTTGGTTCAAAGGCCGAGCCTCTTCCAACTCTTTTACCTCAGCCTGTTGGCTCTGCTCCATAATCGAGCAGTTGAAAACATCTCTCCCCAAAGTCCACCAGCCTCTATCTTCTTCTTCTCATTTCTGCTTTCCTCAAGTTTCACCTCGAAGGTGTTAGTGCTTCCACAATTCTTATCCCTACCACTATCAACAGCTTCGCTCCTGGAGTCGGGCTTTCTCTTCGTCCCATTCTTTCGCAGGTGCCTGGCAACAACTGGATAAATGAGTTTGGACATATCGAGCACTGGGAGAAAGTGACCTCAACCAGTTTTTGCACACTCCAAAACAATCACAAAACTGCAAATGGCCCCATCGCTGAGACGCTGCCTTCAGCTGACAACCAGCTGCTTCATCTACGAGCAATCCTGAAAAGGCAAAGAATATCTTTAGCAACTTCTATTGTCTGGCAAAGAATGATGGATACTAGATACTATAGTTACTATATATAGACTGATTGAATTCAAACGGAACATTACTTTCGCGGTTGCAAGTCCGCCTGATTCCTGGAGCTTGGCTAAAGACTTTGCAGCAACCAAGTCTGCTTCTTCAAGGCGTTCAATCTGCAGAGATGCTTCTTGCAGGCGATCCTCTCGGTGAATAAAGTCTGATCTTTTGCTGTGCTGGAAGTCCTTGACACAGGCTTTCTCCTTCGCGGAATCACAATTTTGAATCATCTCCGACACTTTCACTTCCCTTTCAAGAACAAGCGCTTGCATAGACTCAACTGATACTTCCAGGCTTGCAACTTTATCTTGACTTTCAGCAAGTTGGGTCTTCAAATCGGCAGCCAAATGTTCTTGAAGCGTCATGCCATTCATACTTGCACATGCCTCCTCGTTCCTTGCAATACCTTCTTCTCTGAGTCGAAGTTGCTGATGAAGCTTCACTTCTTCGGTGTGTCCTCCTTCTTCCACTTTACACATTTGAGACTTCAAGTTCTCGGCTGACGTTCGGTGCTTAGCTTTCAGCTGTCCGATGCGCTCATGTAAGTCTCTCCTAGTCCCCTCCTCCTGTCTGAGATGACTCTGGTATTCTTCAATGGCTTCCATGCGCTCTTCAGCGCATCTTAAATCTGTCTCGCGGTTCTCCAAATCTGCAGCATTTTTTTCAACTCTTGCTCGGAGTTGGTCCACACTAGCAGCATTTTCTTTCAATTCGGAGAAGTATTTTGACCGAAGCAGCTTCTCTTCTTCTTGAGCACATTTAGCACATTGCTCGCTCAGTTGCTCGTCCCTCTCTGCAAGGCTCTTCCTCAAGTCAGCTGCTGCCTTTTCAAGCCGGCGCCGCTCGACTTCGAAAACATCCAGCACTGGCTGAGCAGCCATTTGAGCAAAAAGGCTAGCACTCTGAGCTTTTTGAGTGAGCAAAAACAGATGGACCTATGTCAAAGACTCGGAATGTCGACTCAGGCAATGGTAGGACAGGCTCCTGTGGAAGCTCCAAGAGTCTTCGACTCTCCTGTTGCAGGAAATGTCTTTATTTCAAGATATTTGGCAACTTCAAATTGTTGAACTGTTGCCGCAACCAATATGCCTCTGCCAAAAGACCAGGCCGTTTGTTGGGCACGGCCTTGCCATGCAAAGCGGTGTAAAATTTGACCTTTGAACTCTCAAAGGCGCATAGAACTAGATACTGTCAAGAAAGTTCACTTGACTTATGTTGGCTCCAAAGTGTTGCAGCCTTGCAGGCAAGTACTTGTACACGAGTTCCTAGTTTACAAATAGAAGAACAACAGTGCAGCCGTCCCTGAATGTGACTTAAAAGTATTGAAAGGGGATGCATCTTTTTTATCTGGGATTCCCTTATGTCTGGAACATGAAATATTGAAGAAATCGGAGCATCTTTTTGCCTCAATGAACTGCCGGTGGACACTTGAAAGTCCTTGCAAACCATGCTCAGGCCCATGCAAAGGTCCATGATAGTGCACTACCTTGTCTTGCTGTGACAGGACAGGCAACAAGAAGCTGAATGGCCAAGGCCCACACCACAGCCAATGACCTGTCATTGAAAGTCAATGATAATTGATAAAGATTGATAAAGAATAATGCAATCATACAAAAAGGTACCTGATCAACTCGAGAGAAAGTCCCCTTCCTACCTAGACCTGAAACATCTCTGGTCCCCCAACCCTGAGGGCATCACAGCTAGCACTCGACGAATTGTTCGGCAAAAGCGACCTAAGACACCCAACTTTGCGTGCAGGGTGAATGGTGAGCAGGCAAGTGTCACTAAGGAATCTGACACTTCATCAAAGCATTGGCTGCTCAGCTAGTATAGCAGCTACTGGTGGCAACAACATGTAAGAAAGTCCAGCTGCAGATTGCGCTTTTCACTTGATTTTAAACCTGTTTGGGAAAGCAGTTCAGTCTACCAAGTGATCCGACTCGGACCTCATGGCCAGAAAAACTCTTTGAACCGCCCGCGGTCAGAAGAGCCTTTTTGTCAATCACACCACAGGAATGTTTGCAACAAAGAAAAGTGCACTGACAAATTGACAGATAATCTGAGACGTGAACCAACACACCAATGACCCACATGACGGCCGTCTGACTCTCTCTCTCTCTCTCTCTTGTATTTTCAAGGAAGCAACACTGCTTCAGGAAGCGAGATGTCAGACTCTGGCACTCGATTTGATGCGAGAGCCTTCCAGGGCTATTTACAAGGGACGTCTTCGTCCTTCCTCCTCATTCTTGACTTTCCAAACAAAAATCACCAGTAGCTCATAGATCTCAGCATCTGCCAAACGTTCAAGAACAAAGATCTTTAACGCAAGCATGTACAGGCTGCAGCTCCTTCTAGACATGCAGGCTGCATAAATTTTGAGTTGCACAAGTGCTTAAGGTGCCCGTTCTTCAGGCACATCATGAATAGCTTGTGGCAAAGGAAATTGGAGGCCTTGGCATCACTGGGCTGCACTCCTTCCAGATATGCTACTGTTGAGGCCAAGACTGGCGAGAAAACACGCCGCCTTAAAGCATTCATGATTAAGGTTTTGCAATCAGCAATCTTGACACGTCATGTCACAAGCTTAGATCCGTTCCTTCAGACGTCTCATCCTTGTCACAAAACGGAGCATAAAACCGACCCAAAGATCTTAGCAAGCTGCTGGGGTCATGGCCAAGGTGCCACGAAACTGTCGCAGGGCCTGGGCTTTGCCAAGGTTAGTACGACAGCAATATATGCTTTTGTCTTCAATGCCAGCGCCTCCAGCCAAAAGAAGAGTGCACCAAACATGTCCAAGGTGTCCTGATGGAGCCAGACCATGGCACACATGCTCGAACAAAGTGCACACAGGACTCGAAAGAGTCCTGCTTCTGTTCTTCGAGACCCTTCTTGGCCGCATCCGCAATGATTTCATCAGCAGAAGCTCCACGTTTGATGGGCGGTACGCTCACCAGCTCTGAAGGCAACAAGGTATAGTTTTCACCTGTGGGATTGTCGTCCACAGACATCGCCCTCTGTTGAAACTGCTGTACTTGAAGCAACAAACTCAGGGCTGTCTGTGGAGTACCCAGAATGTGTGTTAACACAAAATCTTCATCGTTGGAAGACCTGGTTGGTCTATCAGGATAGCTCGAGCCCTCTGCGTGCCAAACTCGCTCGTCTTTTGCCCCAAACTCGGGTTCAAGAGATGCGGCAGATAGATGCACACGGGAATCAGGAGGGCCATCTGCATGCCACTCCGCAGTTTCCAGCTCCGTGCCCACTGCCGTGCCATCACAATGCTTTGTAAAGTCTTGAAGTTGAAGAGATTGTTGCATAGTGAATGAAGGAGGTAAATAATTGTTTCCGCGAAAGTCACAGGAATGTTCTGGAAGCATAATGTCTTGGTTGATACTGTCATCCGGAGACCAGAGCAGCTGATGATTTAGAAGAAAGGACAGCGCAGACTTCTCAAGTTTTTCCCTCTCCAAAGACAGCAACTCCCGCCGTTCATCAGAACTCACACTGAAGCCACTGCACAGTGCAGGATCCAAACAGCCATAAACACACCAGTCCCCGAGGCATGGTGTCGAATGCTGTAGTGCTCTCATAATGCTGATGATTTCACTTGCCGAAGGAGCCAAGCAACACCAAAGCAAGATTGGATTCACGAGAACTCCTAGGAGCTCTTCTGCAAGCGCTTGTATGCGATGAAGCAAAAAGTCGCAAAGAAGTTCCTACAATGCACACTGAAGCAAGCTGCTTGGAAGCAAGAAAAACATCATGTCAGAAATGTTCCTCCATTCCAATCCAAACCCCATCAACAACTTCCTGTGCCTCCTGTATTGCCTGTCCCAAGGAACGGGGGGTTCTCCGGGAAGTTCTCATCTTCATAGCGTTATCATCGGTATCGCAACATGACCACAACATGGTCATAGGTATCACAACATGATCATCGGCTTCATAACATTGTCATCTGTTTAACATTGTCATCGGATGACAATGTGGTCAAATTGGTTGGGGTGGGGGGTGGGGGGCACGGGGAAATGGGGCATCACCTATCATCAGCCTCATAGCGTCATCATCGATTTCATAGCATGATCGGCGGTGTCATAACATTGTCATTGGCTTTTCAACATTGTCATCGGACAACAATGTGATTCAGTTGGGGTGGGGGGGAGGGGGTGACACGAAGTGCAATTGCAGCGGGGCTCCCTTGGAAAGACACTGTCCCGAGAGCGGTCCACCGCGGAAAAAGCTGACAGGTGCTATGGCGCGCGCAAGAAAGCGGTTGTTTACCAGGCTTGAGCCAAATACGTCAGTCATGTGTAAAGAGTTGCTACACACCGGGCGTGCAAAGATCTATGTGAAGCCAAATGGGTTGCATGGAAGGTTTCTGGTTAATCGGCAGCTCATACAAGTGAATCGAATGGCATGCGCTCAGTGCACCGTCCCAATGCTTCACACAGACGTTGTTGTCATTGCGATAAAGGCACGTTATACGATGGACTTTCATTTGTATATATAAAAGAATATATACACCTATATATTTATACAATTCAATAATCCTTCAGCACTCCAAATTCTTTAACATCTGTATTAATCTCTTTCACTTGCTGGAAATCTGATATCTTTGCTTCCAGGGGATTTTCCCTGAGGGATCAACTCACCCAACAAAAGGCTATCAGATGAAATTCTGAAATCGCCAGAGAGAACCCCAACAGAAAAGTGATGCAGGAATTTCCAGCGAGGCAGATATTAATCTGGACCTGGAATCTCCCATTGGAGACGGGCTGTCGGAGGATGAAGTGAAACCGAACAGGTTTGCGACCACAATTGTGGAAGCTGGCAGCGAACTCTATCGGATGTTGCGAAATCGAATGGGACAGGGCCTGATTGGTCTCAGCGGCTCAGCTGATCAGCTATCTCATTTTCGCGGCCAGCGATATGAGAAACGTCTAGTTCCATACAAGTACATGCCGCTAGGAGACATAATTTTTCAAGAAAAACACATAGTGGGAATGAGGTTGTGAAAAGTGTGTTGCTACCCGCCTCGGCACCTGAGTTGTCACTCAGAGAACGAATCAATAGCGGGTAATCGATGTGAGGGAAATGTGCGGGATACAACAAAAAGGAGGGCAACATGTGATATTTCGCTGCAAGTCGTCCTGAACGGGGATATTCAACTCAACCAGTTCGCTGTGAGTAAATCGTTCGGAAAACCAACGAGTGCGACCTGAGCTATCACGGACGTATCGACCAATCTGGCAGGAAGAGCCTGCGGCCCAGACGTCTGCTGCTGCTTCTCCTTGTCAAAGCGGTTTGGGAAACATGGGGCGAATGGGAGAAAAAGCGGTCAACCAATCTTCAAAAAGGTTCAGTGTACGAATGGAATGCGAAGACAAAGTTCGTTTGCGTTCTGACAAGTGTAGCTGGTTAAGATCCTCACGAGTTTTCACTTGCTGATGCCTCACTGAAAATAGTGCCACCTACTGGCACGGCCGTTCCCTGTGGACGGGAATGGAAAGTCAAATCATCATTGACACAAGCTGGGACCTGTAACCAATTGCTCGGAACGATGCTGAAATGTGAAGCAGGGATGGAGTACAAATCACGAAACAGATGGTTTAACCATATGCGCATATATGGAAACAGTTGAGTCAACCACATGGCTAAGCCAATGAATTTCTCCAAAAGTTTCGCGGAAGTCCGGGTGTTAGGTTTTAAGTCGCCTAAGAGCTTACGAAGTTTACTGAGCTTGTCTGCAGGAACCTCAATGTAAGCGGAGCCAAAGTGAAATCTCCATCCAATCCAAGAGGTGGAGTGGGAGAGCTCACATTTTTTCCAACTCACAGGAATGGCCAGGCACTGACACAAAATGCACAAAAGCGTAGCTGAGATTGGCATGATCTGTTCATCTTGAAAGAACAGAAAGTCGTCCACATACAGGAACCCCGCATGTGGGAACCACAACATCAAGTGCATCAAGCGGAGGATCCATCCTCCAAGTCTGGACCACCGCGAGGCGGAAAAAGTGGCGCCGAAGGGGCAAACACGATAGAAGTAGAGGTCTCCCTCGAGGGAGAACCCTACAAGACCCCATTCAGCTTCTTTCAAAACCACCCGTTTGTGGGCCGATTTGATACCCAAGCTAAAACCCATGAGAGCACTGCTAGTTTGCCTCAAGGGAAGACAGCGAAGAACATCCTTAGCTGAGGGCAGAGTTGAGCGTTCCGGGATAAAGCAGCGGTTGTTCAAGCCACAAACTGAGCTGTCAACGACCAGTCTTGGTGGACGGCCGTCCGATAATGCGACGCCGAGTTTGCCGACTGAAACTCCTGCAGGGAAGGCCGCATCCTTTGTCCACCTCTTCTTGAACGAGGGAACGGGTCAGGTCAAGGTCGTCATCGGCTGATTGCCAATTATTTAAGTGAACGGACAGGGGCGTGGAAAAAGATGGTGAACTATTGGAAGCGGGGAATTCATTTGAGATTGGGGTGTCATGGAAAAAACCGTGCAAACGCCGGCTTGCAAACAAGGCAAAAGAGCCGTGTCACGGTCGCGCATGGCTGCGCTCAACTGTTCCATAACGGCTAAATGCATTGGTTGGTGATCTCTAACGGACCAGTCCACTGGCAAGCCCTTTGATTGCAACCACCTGGTGAGATCTTGACGGAACTCCTCAATGATGTCAGGACCAAATGGAGCGTCTGGACATCATCTAGATATGTGTACCATCAGTTGTTTGTGTAATTGACGGGCCGTGATGTTTTGGCGCCGTGTTTTTCGAAGAGATTCAAAAACATCAGGATGTGACCGGGGGCCACTCCAGTCAGGTTGTGAGGACAGGCCACCTCCATCTTCTGAACTCTGGGGAAAGGCGTCAACAGGTTTCCAAGGAATAGTGGCTGTGGCACTATGTAAATTGTAGTAGTCACAACCCCCGGAAGAAAGCAAGGGAAAGACCAGTATTGGGCCTGAAGCGGTCAATTGGCCTTGCACGTGCACATGGCTACCTCTGGGATGAGGGCAAGCGCATGCAAAAGTAGATAATTTAGAAAAACCACGGGCGGAAATCCAGGACTTCGCAACCTTCATTCCATATTGGCAAGCTGCAATGCATATGCAAGATGCTGAAATAGACTGTAAAAAGGCTCGGGCCACAGGCTCTAGCCAAGACATGTCATTCGTGGGTTGACATGGCCGCCCGCCGAAAATACAAGGCATAAACAGCAAACCACTCTTTCAAGCATCAAGAAGCTCTCCTGGACCTTCTGGAGGTCGTCAGCTGAAAGACCTGGAACTCCTGCCAAGTGGTCAGGTGTACGAAGTGCTGGTGGGCCACCATCGTCCTGAAGTTTAAGCCGAGAGTATTGATTACAGCTAGGACTACCTGCTGCATAGGCGACTTGCCCACTAGAACAAATGCGGAGCACTTGTTCGAAAGTGGAGTCGTTCAGCAAGTCCATTGAATCATCTAACAAAATATCAAATGAAAGGACATTGCACGCACGAGATAATGCTGCTTGGGATAGTGGCCGCGTAACTCCTGCACAAATGTCCAAGAAAAAACGGCCGGGGAGAAAAGATGCTGCCTGTGTCAACGCTGAGTCCGCTTGAGGTCCCTTCGGGATACAAGGCGGAGGCTCGGGCACATGAGGCCGAGGCGGGTCGGAATGGTGAAGGACCTGAGCGGGTCCTGCAGAGTCAACTGAAGTCGAAACTGCGTTCAATGAAGGTGAAACGGAATCGATCGTAGGAAGTCCGCTGGAGGGAGACGCTTCAGTGGAGCGTAGTCAGTGAGGTGTTCGCTTGTGATCAAACGCGGTGTGATTAGCACCACAAGCCGTTCCATCCTTCTTGAGATACGCACATGCATGCAGGAAACGACAATCAGAAGCCGTGCGTTTGCCGCTTTGAAAACGCATACAAAGTTGTTGCCATTGTCCATCCTTCTGGATATCAGTGATCCATTGCACTTTGCCATTTCCACCGGGTTTTCCTTTCTTTGTTCCTTTTCCTTCCTTGCCCTTTCGTGTCCCTTTGGGATTGTCAAAAGAGCGAGAGCCCTGGCTAGTCGGTGAAAAGGATGGACGTGGAGCTCGTTCGCCACCTGAAGATAACCTGCCAAATCACTGCGGATGGTTGTGAACTCGTGCAATGCATCATCCATATTCCAATCACGATCGGACATCAGGTCTGATATGGAGGTCCAGACTTGGCGGTCAGCGGATTGAGCTTCCAAAATGCTAGCGGTACGAAGGCCGGATTCCGGGTCGAGTTTCTGCGTGAGAAAGGACATGAACTTATGTGTATATGCTTTCAAGTTCTGCGCGCGAGCTCCCCGACATATGGCAATGGCCACACTATGCACTTCAAGCATATTGCGGATGGCATCGGTGCCCATTCCGGAATTTGATATCTCCAGGGCAGGTGGGTCGTCCAATAGCAACGTGGAAAAAGAAACAGTTTCCACTCTGGGGAGTTTTGCAGCGCGCTGGCTCACAACTTCTTCTGCTCGACTCACTGACATACGATACTTCCATGGGATCCATACCCATTGCTTGCGCTGCAATTGATGATGCAAGCTCAAAAGACGTGTCGACGGCATCGTGTCGGAGTTTAAAATTTCCGACGGGTAGTTAGACAAAAACTGTGACTTGAGTTCTTTGATCCGCTGAGGGTCCAACTTCGGGACAAAGCCTTCGGACCATGGCGTCGAAGAGGATGAGGAAGGACCTGTAGGTTCGGAAGCGCTCGTTCCGGATGGACCTGACATCTGCTGAAAGGCGGATTTGTATGCAGCTCGGAGTGATGCTTTTTGCCGCAGGGAAAGCTCCCGACTCGGAAAAAGGTCCTGAATCACCTGATCAAATGCTTCATACGAACTGGCGCAACACGCAAAGGTAGACATAGTCCACCCTTCTGTCAAAAGCTCATGGGTCAAGGAAGTATCCAGACCACTGCAGACCAAGAGGTCTTCCAACGACGACGCCATCCCTTCACAGAAGAGAGAAGGTCCCACAGGGACACGCGCAACGCATGGCCCGAGAATCAGCCTACGCAGGGTGGATAGGAAGAAAATAAAAACTAGTTGAGTAGAAAGCATGGTCAACTCTGAAACCTGGAGAACGCGCGTTTCCAAAAAAGACGAATGTTGAGAAGAGAGAAAACAGCTCATTATGATGGATCGGAAGAAGCAACATATGGTACCGCCCTGAATTAGGCTGTCTTGTAAAAATGAATGCGATGCCTGAGAGCCGGAAGAGTTCGAGAGATACTTACAATGTTCTAGAGCATAGACAAGTGTAAGCACAAAGCTGCACTCAAAAACCAGATGTATCTGATACATCTGTTTTTCAAGGACCGTGGTGTCAATAATGCGTCCTTCTTGGGGCGCTGAACAATGAACAAGCGGGATTTGTGGTGTCAGATCTGTATGAATCTCTTCCGCTTGGGGCGCTGAAGAGTTTTTTAAGTTGAACACACAAATGAAAGTCTTGATCCAAAATGGCGGGTGCAAAGAAAATCCTCCGTAGAACACACATGAACAAGTACAGTACATGTTACAAACCACATGACTCACCTCGGACCTCATTTTGGACACCCTCAGAATACACTGCTTCTAACAGTCTACAATGCACCAACTCACTTTGCCATGGCGAAACATTTGGTTTCCAGCACATGGACATGCTTCTTTCACACGTGCCCAAGAATGGTAACAACAGAATTACAAGCAGTTTGCATACATCCCACGCATACAACTCATCATTGAGAGCCAGTTGATGCCTAAGATAACCATTGAAACATCTGTGTGCAACCTTCTCACCAGTGGCCCTGCAAACATACACTATCCAAGCTGAGCACAACCAGTTGAACCCTTCGGAGAACCTCCCGTCCCTGCCGTTGCTTGTTTAATCAAATATAATAGACTGGACTCAATAGTCTTCACAACATGCCATTGGCACTACATGACTTCTTCTAACCCAAAGTCCTGTCGCACGCGCCGAAAGTGCTTACACAAAGACGCGCCTCACTTTTCACATGGGGCAACCAGCGGCTGCAGGTTCTAGTCTGAGCTTCTGACGCCGTAGACCACTGCATGCTCCTCTTGACCACTAGCAAGAACAGCTTGACATGCTAACACAGCAGTGTACGTACTATTGTACAATCGCACGCTCCACTACAAATGCTATTGTGCAAAAACACTTCTGGCTGCTTGGAATATTCTTGTTCTGAATTGTATAGTATAAACGGTATAGTAGACGAGGTCATTTTGGACTTGCCCTTGGCTTTCCAAATGTTTGTCACAAACTCAATGTCCTGCCAATGACGTTAGCCTTGCCGGTGATCGCCAGCTTGCTGGCAAATAGTGTGTGCCTCAAAAATCGGACGAGTCTAACATTACTGAAAGAACCAAAACAAGTCAATTGGCCTGGCCTCCAACCTAATAGCGAGGGCCTCGACCCTAGCAGCGATGGCCTCCACCCTAGTAGCGACTTGACTAGGGTCTAGGCAAGAGACCAACTTCATCAGAGCAATGTACATGCGAAGCCTTCAAATGGGAAAGATCTTCATGGTCTAGAAATGCTGCGTTGGATCAGCGGCCCCGACGGAATGCTTGGCGCATGGAGACAAGCTTCCGACCCAGATCCTTTGCCTTGGACCAGGTTTTCAAATCCATCAGATTTGCTTTCAGCAATTGACATTTTTGCATGATTTTCTTGTTAGCACTTCTCGTTACTCTAGACTCTAGACCACATTCACCAGGCCTTCAGTATCTCCTTCATGGTGCAAGTGCGAGGTGACTTGCAAGGTACTACTCTTTGCCAGCATCAAATTCAACTTCGAACATAAGCTTTCCATGCGCTCCTGCATTTTCCTCAGCGCTGTCCACCACTGCGAAGACAAAGCCTCGAAACAATGGTCTAGTCTTACACGCACTTCCGCCTGATGAAGCTTGAGTTGACCACCGAAAAGAGCCAAGTACCACAGCAGGTTCTTCTCCTACAAAAATAGGATTCATGCAATGGCCCAATTGTGAGAAGCCCGCAAAGAAAGTGTAGGTCAAAAAAGGCTGGCCTGAATCTTAACGAAAAGAAGTGGAGTGTCCTCACATGAAAACTAAGGCTTTAAGATGTCATTACAACAAACTGACAAAATCTCTCTGCACGTTGGATCTTGCGAAAGTTGGAAGGCAACAGCCAATATTGTCAAGGTTCATCCCACAAAGCCACCAGCAGCAAAGCTGCAAGGATTGAACCTGAACAGCTGCAATTCTGGCAAATCAGGTCATCGCTCTTGCGAAAGAAGTTTGAGCTCGGAAAAGACGAAGCGTGCCAGAACCAACCTGTCCTGAAATGAATTTCACGGTGCGGAGTAGAGACTTGAGCACAGGCGAAGTCGGTCTTGTCGTGTGGACATATGCCTTCACACTGCCGTCTTGAAGCAAAAATTCAACCAAGACAAAGAGGACAATCCACTAGAGGCTTCCAACGGCCAGCCTCTGCTGCAGTTTGCGCAGCAGACATTCTGGCCTAAAGCAAGGAGCACCGACAGTGCTTGGGCGAAAGGCATTTGAGAAGAATCTCAGCTCATGACGCTGATCTGATGCGGAAGCTCATTGTATTCTCGGAAGGTCCAAAAGGCCTGAATTGTATGTTTCCTGATTGTTTTCCCTTCGATCGTTTAAGGGACAGGTAGCTATTAGGTACAGGACACTCTCACGCACTAGTGATTTGGTTCCTAGATTTTTAGGGAAACTATGAAGTAAAGCTAGGAGTTATAAAGCTATGAGCTTTGCTGAGATTTGTGAAGGATAATGAAAGCTGAGATCCCTGCATAGTCTGACCACTGCTTTCTAAACGGCGAAGTTCTCTGTGAGCGGAATTCTTGGGCGTGGCCTCGGTTGGGCGCAACATGGTCAGCACAGGCACCGTTGGCATCAATACAACAGCTTTTTCATCCTGTTTCTGTCATTGAGTCGCCAGCGCAAAAAGAAGTAAATGGCCACAAAAACAAGCAGAGGAGGTAGAAGGATGAGGTTGACCCTGCAAGTTCAGAATCACAGTTCCTCTCTGACCAGCCGAAAGATGGCACAAGCTTGGTTCTGAGCTTCAGACACCGCAAAAATCTTGAAGAGTCCGGCAAGCACCTGCAAATGAAGCTGAAAAGTCAAGGTTCCAAAGAGTTCACAAAGCCCTTGCTTCAGAACAATCTAGAAACGTAACATGTATGGTGTTTGTAGTTCATCCGATCCTTTTTCTTTCAGGTGGCTTGGAAATCTTCTTTGAAGCGTAAATGTGATTGTTTACAGTGGCTGTAGGAAAGGGTCAGCTTTCCTTTGTGGCGGACCTCTACTCACCCTCAGATCTGGTACATCAGCGTTGAAACTTACTTCACTCATCATCCGCTGCTGCTGCCACATCTGCTGTCAAGGTGTTCATGGCATCATCCGCTTCTGGGCGCATCATCTCAACACCAACGTCGTCCCCACCATCACCATGAAGCTCCATGAGCTTGGTAATGTCAAACTTGGGCTTTTTCAAGATCTTCACCTTGCGAATCAAGCAATCCTTCAATGGGAAAATCCCTTGGGTCTGCTTCTCAATTTCTTTCCCAATGGACTCTGGAATCAGCTTCTTCACCAACTCCCGGAGCTGTACTTTGCTGGCCTCCTGCGTCATGATTTCCACCATCTTCTTGCGAATCTTTCGAATCTGCGCAGACTGAGCGTAGCAGTTGGCCCTCACTTGGTCGGGACGGCGCTTGGTGAAGGCAATGCAGAAGAGGCGAACGACATAGTTGTCAGTGGTCTTCACGTCAACATGTGCCTCAATCAATGTCTGCCACTTCTTGATGAGAGAGCAAATCTTGTCACGGGTCAGCGTCATACCGTGGAAGTCGGTCAGGCAACTGCGACCCTGGACCTCCTCAATGCACAGCCTGATCTTCTTGGAGGCCTGATCCTCATCATTGTTCAGGTCGGCGAGGTTCACCTCCACAAGTCATCACAGCACGTGCTACAAAGGCAAATAAATTAAAAGTGGTTTGACCAGGAAATGTACAAGACAAAAATGCAAAGAAACAAACAATAAAACCATTCACTGAGCTTGAAGCAATTGGCCTCAAGCACTCGGCCTTTCAGCTCTTCCGTGGCAATCTTGGTTCCTTGAGTTCGAGACACCAAGGTCTTACCGCACTGTCGCACCGAGAACATGCTGGGAGCCTTGATGTCATACCACTCCTTGCGAAGGAAAGGATCACCAGCCTTCTTCTTTCCTCCCTTCTTTCCTCCCTTCGTAAGTCGCTTGTTCTTGCCAACCGCCATGATCTCAGAATGATGTGCCCTCTGTCACCACCTGTTCTCCGTCTTTGAGCCAAAGAGATTTCAGGAAGAGGCAAAGGAAATGTATATTCTCTCTGTAAAGAACTGCACTGAATTTGAGTTCCCTGAGACAAGTCCAGTTGAAAGTAGTTCCACTAGTGAACATCAAAAAGTCTGGATGTCCAACTTGGTCTAAAGGTTCGTTGATTTTGCCTCTGGTTTTGCCAGGAATTCTTCCCGAAGCCGCCCACGGTGGTCAAGTGCTGGGACCTTGTGAAGATCAAAAGACCTGTCTTTAATAGCGATGGCCTCCAACCTACTAGCGATGGCCTCTTCTTCCATTTTTCAACCAAGAAAGACTTCACTGGCCCTGGCAATGACAGGTGGGAATACGGCCAGCAAGATGTTCCGGAAAGGTGCATTTGTATAAACCTCAGTGCAAAAATCGTCCAAGAACATGGGACCTCTCACGAGAAAACTTGGGAGCGAACCAACCGGCGCGGAAAACAAGGCCACAGGTTCTTCGTGAAAGCCTGAGGTCTTTTACTCGAAGGATATTGCAAACCAAACGCTCATCTCGCAGGTGAAAGATATTTATATAAGAGCTTCATTCTTCTGGCCAGATATCCCCATCAAAAGGTTGTATAAAGCAGATGTTGAAAGTGCCCGCTGTCACCTTGCTCTCATGTTCCAAGTCATTGCGCCGTCAGTGACGTGCTGGGAAGCGGACATGATGGTTCGTAAGGCCAATGATAAAGTTGTCCTGGCAGTCTATCCCAGCAGCTCAAAAAGCAAGCTTTAAGTCATGTTCCTGTCGCATGATGATGTTGGTGATTTCCAGGGCGGTAAGTTCCTCTTGAACAATGCAGAGTCGCGACTCCTGACAAGAGACACAAGCCACCGTTCCGAATCTGTCGCGGATCTTGTGGTGTTTTAGTGTTTCTCACTATAAAAAAGGCGGAACGAAAAGTCGAGAAGTGAAGCAAACTCCGAACTCTGAACAAAGCTCTGACCTTTTGTCGTTGGACCAGTCTGGAGACGACCTCTGACCACAGCATAGTCTCCAAGCTCTCATCAGAAAGGATGCCCAGCTGGTCCTCGATGATTAGGTCGCTATATGAGTCAGAGTGTCAAAGGATTGTTTTTTGTTCGAAACGGAAGTATTGTCTTGCAATTCACCAAATCAAAAGAATCATTAAATCCTTACAACTTGCAAGGGCGGTGAAACTACGGACACACACACAGATATATCGTACTTAATATGTTTTGTGCATAGAAGCGATATTCAAAGCGCAAGGTACTCAATACCCGTGCATTGCCTGGATCTAAAACCTGGGCGATACAAAACTTGGTGGTTAGAAATTAAAAACCGTGAAAAATGTCACAGGGTCTGACCCAACCGGCTTCTCTCAGGGCATTGTAAGCCCAACTGTGTCTACCCCATTGGGCTCTGAACTGGTGGAGTAGCAAGACTGTTCTGCAGAATTACTAGCAGGTTTGACAGAATCGCTACGTAGGAGACGCCCTAAGAGTTCTAGTTTGTTAGAAAGAGACATGTCAACCAACAGTAGGTCTAAAAATGCTTAATGACTGAATCCAAAATATTGATTAACTTCTGCGGACAATGTGTCCGGCGCTAGAATACGATCCTAGTACCCCCTGAAAGAAATGCATGGCGCAGGGATGTTGAGTTGCGCCATCTACTAGCCCTTGTCCGCTCATTGTTGCGCTCCTCAAGAGGGGAACCCAGCACAAACGGTGGCGGTAGACTCGATCAAAGGCGATTGTGGAAATTGCGCCGTCAGTATGCTTCTAGGTTCTACATTAAGGTTGAACATTGTAAAAAGAACAGTGGTGTGAAGATGCATGCTACGCATCATAGACGAAGCGCGAAACTCGCGACTATCCGAGAAGGGTGGGCTCAAACAGTTGAAAACACCTACGGTGCGGCCGCCCCGGCGGCCTCCTTTTCCGGACGCGCATTGCCCTTCGCTTGGTGGTGGACTTTGTTAGCTACTACCTGTTCTTCATATTGATAGCGCTGAACGCACTACTCTTTGACGAGCCGGAAGTCCTGCGTAAGACCAGGGTCAAGAACGGCTGCAGGAGCTCTACATTGGTTTTGGTTGCTTGCATTTGCCCCCCTTTCTTCACTAACGGCTTTGAGGCCATCAAGCACGACCTTGTCGAGCTCTACCACCTTGCCACGCACCCCACGCCGACTGATCGACGACAACAAGGACAACAGACCCAGGCTGCATCGACTTCGAGCTCCAAAGGCACTGGCTATGTGGACCTATGGGACAGCTATGCGCCGGTTAATAGCGGTCAACCCTCTGACTACGAGGAATGGCGAGAGGATCCACTTGTACCATCGCAAGATGCCAAGAGGAGCAATGAGCGTGCGCTGAACATCGTGGGATCGTTCACTGGCTTGACATTGAGGAGTTGGAGAAAGAAGACGCTTTCAAGCGCACGATTGAGACCCTGGATGACTCCCGCGCGCAGCTTGCTTCCGACTTCAAGAACTACTTCAACCTTCTCCCAAGCACTGTACGTGGCAGAGCACGGGGAGGCGTACAGAAAGTCTTCTTTGCAGAGCCTCGCTCAGCAGAGAGCAGGGGCAGACGATCACCCCGCGCGCTCCATCTTGGCCAAGACTGAGGTGACCATATATGACTTTGAGACAGGAGCCAGACTATAGCGACGAACCATGGCCTGAGAATGCCAAGGCCAGGAAAAGATTTCAGGAATTGAAGATGTCTAGAGGCTACTTGCCCACAACAACAGGGAGGTCAGCCATCGACTTCAACACCTACATCACAGACCTCACGGCAAATTAAAGGCAAGGCAAGGCACAAGGGAGGCTCCAAGATCGAAGTCCGGCAAATCCAAATGCAAGACGACCATCCGCCATCCACCACAAGGAGCTGGACACTTTTATTTGAAGGGAAGAGCCAAAACCAATATGACATGTCTCCGTTGCGGACAACCTGGTCATTCGCAGAACTCCTCCTGTTCATCTCGGACCAGCCAGAAAAGACCAGCGCCACCGACAACAGAAGGCATGGCACTTCAGACGACCTTCAAGGCCAATGAGGGGGCGTCCTGGCGCAAGTGCTTTCCTCAGTGGCTATGGCCCCTTCAAGCGGTTCCTGGGCCACCCGAAAACCATCGTCTTCGCCATTGAGAGCAAGGGCAGACGCCCGTTTCCAATGTGGTGGTGACCGTGCAGACATTAATCGGCTCTTGAAATTTGCGGAAGGAGAACAAGGGTGCGAGCCTGAACTACAACCATCTGCGTCACCCCGATGAGCTGCAACTTGTTTGCTTCTTTGATGCTGGCTTCACTGCCAGGCATGATGGCAACTTGCAGGGTGGCTACATCACGATGTTGGTCGACAATATCATGCCATTGAGGAGTTCGCACACCACGTGTCGTCGACTTCACACGTCGTTACTGGCACTACTTGCTGCACCCCAACACCAAGCCCAAAGAGCTCCTTGAGGTGAAGTCTTCCCTCAAGCCAGTCATGATCACAGACGCCAAAGCCCTCAACTCCTACCACAGGGAGGGGGTCAGTTCCTTGGTGGTGGACAAACGGGTGTCAGTAGAGATCTGTGCGATGAAGGAGCTTGGAAGAGCTTTCCGGCCCCTTGCCGTGGATGAGCTCGGAGAGACAGATTGCCGACGGCCTGACAAAAGAGTCGGCAAGGCTTTTGTTGGCAACTCGCCTATGCCACGGAAAGTTGAAGATGACTTGGGATCCACATTATGTGGCCCACAAGAAGCAGTCAGAAGCCGAGAATGCAGCCGCTCTTTGCAGACTCTACGGCACTTCCTCCTCTACCTCGTGGAAGATGAGCACCACGTCAATGGAGACCCACTGAATGAGCACCACACTGAGTATGACACTCCTCCTGATGTCAATGACACACTTCCGAATGAGGAGCTGCCTGACGACAATGACCACCATGACATTGTCAGCTTTGCTCAGTATGGCGGCACTCTTGAGTATGTGGACTGTGTTTCTTGGTTTGCTGAGTTTTCCACTGCTGGCAGCCGGCAAGGGTGAATCGGACACCTGCTCGAAATGAATGCCCCTGAAGACACTGGAGATTTTGGCTGAGCTTTCTCATTTTTCTTTCTGCACCCCGGAGTGATGCTGCTTGTTTTTCTGTGTGGCACAGGCCACATCTGAAGGAAAGCCCTGCGACCACCGAAGTTGGTGTACAGGATGATTTGATTGTTTTGCAGCGTTGGCGAGAGCTCGCCAAAACTGAAGGCCAGAGGGCAAGTGAATCTTTGGCAGCAGCTCGCGAAGCGACAGCAGCCCTAGACCTCCAGATTCAAGAGGTCGCAGAACTTAGGTCGTTTGTGGAAGACGCAGGCCAGCTGTGGAGCACCACTCGAATCGGTGCCCCCGTGGAAAAGGAAGTGTTTGTGGAGAATGGCCGATGTTGGCATTTGTACCGATGCCGCATTTTAGAGCAGGTGGATCCATCCAATGTGCAGCCCGTGAAAGGCTGCAGCTTTTGCTCAGAGCACCAATGTCCGCCAGACCGGTATCACGATCCGGCTGGTTGGTGCATCCGCCACGACATAAGCATGTGGCGGCAAGACGCACAGCGTTGTGTTTTTGGCCAAGAACGGCCCGTGTGAAGATGCATGCAATGCATCATAGACGAAACGCGAAACTCGTGACCATCCGAGAAGGGTGGGCTCGAACAGCTGAAAACATCTACGGTGCGGCCGCCCCGGCGGCTTCCTTTTCCACACGCACGTTGCGCTTTGCTTGGTGGTGTTTTTTGTTGGCTACTACCTGTTCTTCATAAGTGGGTGTTTGCAAGTCTTGGTTATTTTTGGTATTCATTCACCCATCGATCGCAGAGCCAAATTATGAGGGAGTAGATGGCGCAACACTTTCTAGAGGGGCAAGAGTGCATATCATGGCTCGTGGATGTTCATTGCCTTGCGGCCAAATCTTGCCGCTGCTGGGGCC